GGAAGACATGAATTACCATAAACTAATTATCACAGCATTTATTTAGTGAAGATTTCAAAGTGGGAAAGTAAGCACCCATAGAAGAAATCAAAATAGTTATCACAGAACTTTATTAAAAGCACTTGTTCTCAGTAGTCCTACAGGCCAGTTGCAACCTTACATGTCAAGGAACCATTGGGTCATCTGCAGAGTAAAATGTTGATTCCACTGAGAGAAGTTCTGCTTTCTAACTCATTATAAAGATGATGATGATGACAGAATAGCAACAGGAATGCTAACACTGATAATAAAGGCACTTTAGGGAGGCTTACTAAGTGTAAGGCACTGCACTCAGCACCATAGGTGGGTTGGCTCATGACTTTCCATCTTCACAGACTTCTAACAGGGCAGCACTAATACAATCCCATTTGATAAGAGAGGAAAATGAGAGTTAGGGGAGCTAAGTGACTTGTTTGACTTTACACAGGCAGTCAGGAGGGTGCTCAGATTCACCACCAGTTTGCCTGACTCAGACCAAGCTTTGCCACTGAGCACACTTCACCTCCTATCATGAAATTAAGAATAACGGTTCATTAGGTAGGATGGACCCTCTGCGCAAATCGGAAACAACTTTGTTCTTGCCCACTAGCCTTATTCAAGTCCCCACTATGGAATATATGCTCTTGCCCCTGGTTGAAATCTGAAGAGGGTTCCATAGTATTTTTAGTCACTTTTTGGTGCTAAAATCCCGTGGTCACTCTCAGGCACAGTGACTGCCAGGCCAGCCTAGTACTCAGAGAAGATGTTTGGGAGCAGAGCATGAAGAGGAAGTGGTGAGTGAGAGGCAGCCCATTGAAAGGAGGAGCCAATCCAAACAACAGCCAGAGGTTTCTTCTCACTCCAAGTGTTTATCATTGCTTTCATCTCCAACTTCATGTCAGGAAACACAGAGATCAATCTGATGAATAAGATGGAAGAAGCAAATATTGTTATTAGAGATGATAGCATTGTTTATCTGAGAAGCTAAAGATAAAACCTGGAAACTTACTACAACTGAAAAAGGAGTCAATTTGCTGAACATTGCATAAATACATACATTACACATAACAACACATATTATTGAATTAAAATCACATGTCCTACAAAATATATATGAAATTTGGAGGTTTAGGGCTAATGCCAAGTGGAGATCTATGTGCAGACAAGTCTGAGTGTTTCCTGATGAGGTGACAGAGGCATCACCTC